GGAAGTCCAGAATCAGCGAGAACACAGCGCACACCTTTGATGATGGTACACATCCCATGTTCTGCCACCCTGTTTTGGCCATGGGCATAGGGTGCGCTAAATTCCACGGTGATTCCATGCCTGGTTGTGTACTCCCTCCATTTCTCATTGAAGAACTCGCTTCCCATGTCAAGTCGAAGACGAATCAACTTCTTTCTGGTCTCGCACTCTGACCTGGTATGGTACTCGGCGAAGGGTGTGAGTGTGGTGTCGGCGGATTTGGTAGTGAGAAAGTATGGAGCACGGTAGGAAGACCCCCCATTATTTAGGACCATCATGTACTCAGCTCCCCCAACAGAGCGAACATGAGCTGGTCCCCATAGGTCCCCATAAATGCACTCCAGCACCTCCCTCTCAGATTCAGTAACCTCATTGTAAGGTCACACTGTCTGTTTGCCATATATACAATCTTTGCATTTTCCATCAAGCTCTGTGTCCCCCACAATGTCAAAGCCATCCACCAAGCCTTGCTTAGCCATGTCTGTGATCGCATGCATACCAGCGTGTCCCAAACGCTGGTGCCACACTTTGATGCTGATGGGCTTAGAGAGGGAGCGTGCAGCGAGGGCATGAGTTAGAGGCTCCACGTTTAGCAGGTACATCCCATTATTTCCTCTGCCAGACATTATCGTCCTTTTCTGACCTCCATGAATGTCATAAAAGGTCACCTCTCCACCACCGAAAAGCGCCCAAATGTTTGCCTCATCAAGTTTGGTGATGGATACGAGGTTTGCAATGAGGTCAGGAGTGTGGACAGCATGTCTAAATGTGAGTGTGGTCCTCAATGATCTGGTCACGATGGTTTTAGTGACTGTGCCATGTCCAATAATGTGGAATTGCCCCCCCTTGTTTGCAGATTGGCCCTTGTCAGGTTTGGTCAATGCGTGGTACATGGAGAAATCTGACCGATTCATGAAACAGTGCTTATTAGCAGCTGAGTTGGCGTATGTGGGTACGTGCCGCTCTCCAGGAGTTGTAGTTGCAGCTAGGGCGTGTGTGGTTCCCCAAGCACCATGGGGGTATGAGTCGAGGACACAGTCCTTCGATGCGAGGAGAGCCTCCCCTGGTGTATGGATCTCTACGACCTCATTGCCAACAGTCGAGAGAACCTTTGTGCTCTTGGTTAGCAGGTAGTCACAGCTCCCCACATCCGATACAAGGGCAAGCATTATCTCAGAGGTGGGTGAAGTGTCTGTGAGGGCTGCCGTGACTGATGGTGTATTTGTGGTAGAAGTGTTTTGGGAACCTGGTTGTGCTCCCCCATGTTGTCCAAAGCCAGGGGGGGATTGTCCTTCCTTCCCCCCCCCACGCCAATAGCAGTTTGCGATGGTATGTCCACGGTGTCTGCAGTTTTGGTTTGCACATACCAGCTGACTTCATGGTTTTCTCGTGTCAGTTTGGAGCGCCGTGACAGTTGTGTTGGGGTTCGCAATGGACTTGGATTGATCAATGCAGTTCCAGTGGATAGTTAGCTGGTTAATGACATCCGCCGAGGACTTTGCTTCATAAAGCGTTCCAACTACGCTGTCCCAGGATGTGGGGAGTGAAGATAAAATGACCATGCAGAAATCTGCATTGTTGATCTTCGCACCAGCATTGTTTGCCATTACCCACTTGGTCCGTAGGTTGGAAACGTGTGTGGGGAAATCATTTCTGTTGACGAATGTGATGTTTCGGAGGTCGCACTGGGCAGTTACCATGGCAAGGTCAGAGGATACCTTGTATTGCGAGGTGAGTGAGTTCCACGCCTCTGCTGCTGTGCCATTGAGCCTGAGGCCAAGTCCAACAGTGTTTTTAGTGTTGTATAAAAGTAGCATGTGCGCCCATGCATTGCACATGGCCCATTCCGTGCCTGAAGGTGTAGTGGAATACCATGGCGTGGGGTCATCCGGAAGGGGAACATTTGGCAACAGAGGGGTATAGTTCAGGGTTGTAGGATCTAAGTGGTAAGGAGTGGGATTGGGGATGGTTCCTTGTAGGTATCCTAGTACGCCATGACTACTGGCCGCTATGGTAATCAGCGTCTCGAAAGTACCAAAATTGGTGCCATCGAATTTTTCCGCCTCCGGAAAAATGGGTGGGTTGCTATTTGCAGATGACATTTTTGGTGTTGTGTTTTTGGGATGTGGGCTTTACGAGTCACAAGTAAAAGTTGTAAAGCAGGTAGGTGTCTGTAGTTCTTGTTTAATAAAGCGCAGCAGGGCCCATAACCTGTTAACATACAGAACTCAGAGTCAGACACAGTTGTGATGACGACTCGGATTGGGTAAACTACCTGTTAACGTACAGAAC